AATGGATGGCTTATCGCGTTTATAGAACGACTTACTACAACAGATTCGGTAATTTGAGTAATTATTTTGACAAATTTTTATGCTGGTTAATTATTTGTTGATTCACTTACGTCCTGTTTGGGATTTATTTTTACCGTACTTCTTCATACAACACACTACTAAAAAATGTTAATATATCATAATTAAACTAATTTTAATTAACATTTTATATAGTTTATAATTATAAGGTTATACAACATTTTTTCAAAGTAACTATCTAACACTAGAATAGGTTTAGTAATGGTGCAATTCAGGAAATACCATTGGCAAAACAATTTTTATTTATTACAAAATGTAAAAATTCATTTATCCAATAATTGATGTACCGAAAAAAAAAAAACCTAGCAATTGATATGTACAGAAAAAGTAGCAATGAGCTACTATAATCAGCAAACAATACAATCAATGAATTTCTACTAAATCGCTCAGAGCCATGGATAATGGGGAAGATTTAAGCTTAGCAAAACCAAAAAATTTTATTTCTAGCATCAAACTTAATACCACGGATAAGCATCATCACGGAGTGGGATCTTTGCGGATGATCTTTGCTGTTTCTCTCCCTCCACACATGGAAGACTACAACAGCCCATGCCAACTTTATGAGAAGGATATGCACAGGGGCGGAGGCAAAAATTTTTTTCAGGGGGGGCAAAATACTAAAATTTTCAAAGTTCAGGGGAGGCTAGAAAATTTTTCATATACTAATTTGCAAGACTTTCAAATTTCAGGGGGGCGAGCGCCCCCCTCGCACCCCCTGGCTCCGCCACTGGATATGCAGCGATCCCCTCCTAACTTTCTTTCCCATTTTCATACCAACAATGCTCGCTAAGCATCAGTAAAATGTATCTCTGTCAACTCACATAGTTTGTGCCAAAACTTGTCTTTGTAAAGCTGCATTTGAGAAAAAGAGGTCAGCACTTGTATCTGATTCAGAAATGCAGAATGAGCATGTATCTGTGATGGTAGGGGACCAGGGGCGGAGCCAGAATTTTTTTTCAAGGGGGACGAGATAATTTTTTATATACTAATTTATAAAATTTTTTAATTTCAGGAGGGGTGAAATAATTTTCATATACTAATTTGTAAGGATTTTCAAATTTCAGGGGGGGCTAGCGCCCCCTTTGCACCCCCTCCCTCTGCCATTGTAGGGGACCATCTCTTCTGCCTGGCTATCTCTTGTAGTCAATCTATAAAGTACTGCCAACCAGCTAATAAAGTTGTGCTTGGGAATTGATTGTTGGACCATATTAACTTGTGCCATGAAACTTTGCTATGCTCTTTCCTTAGCCAATGCCAAGTGCTCCCAATTGTGACTGTGCTAGAGTAGTATGGCAACCAAATAACAAAATCTTTTATACTTTCTCTTGGATAGAGCATGCCTAAAAGAGGTGTGTGAATTTGCACAAGCTCATGAGACCAAGCAAGAGGCCAATTTAAAAAATTCCCTTCTACCACAGATGACACTTTTGCATTGCTAGTGGTAGCACTGAGCCTTTAACAACTTTATCCCCATATGCATCTATTAAGGGGCTTTTGGGTGCCAATTATCAAAACGAAGAAAAATATCTTCATCATCACCAAGTCAATGCAACATAAGTTTTTTTTCCTTCTGGTATGAGTTTAAGCAACTTTCTCCATCCCCATGATGCTTCAAAGGGGATCTTCACTGACCAAAAGCTATTCCCTTTCAACAAATAGGAATGAATCCAAGCAAACCATATGGAACTTCCCTTTGAAAAGAGCACCCAAATGAAATGCATTATGCAAGCCTTGTTCCACTAAACTAAGCATTTTATTACCCAGCCCCCCTTCCTGTTTAGGATAACAAATTGAAGTCTAGTTAACTTTGGCCTAAAAGGAGAGATCTCACAACTTAAGACTTTTTAGAATAATTCACTCTGAGCCAAAAACAACATAGAATTCCTTAGAATCAATATCAGCCATAGAAGATGGACTGATATCATCTATAGAGCAAAGATGTGTTAGTTGTACCTTTACACACTTTGGGTGGTATGCAATCTGTCCTTCCACAATACCTTTGCTCAACATTCTAGATAACATCTCTAAGCAGATAACAAATATATACTAGGGTAAAGGGTTGTTAAGTGGGAAAATCTCA